TAATAATAATAATAATAATAATAATAATAATAATAATAATAATAATAATAATAATAATAATAATAATAATAATAATAATAATAATAATAATAATAATAAATAATAATAATAATAATAATAATAATAATAATAATAATAACAATAATAATAATAATAATAATAATAATAATAATAATAATAATAATAATAATAATAATAATAACAATAATAATAATATTAATAATAATAATAAATACAAAAATTAAAAAAAGATCAAAGTGAGAAACATTATACCCCTGTTTGTAGGTTGTGTTGTCAATAGTAAGAGAAAAAATTGAGACCCTGCAATCGTAAATTGCTTCTGAAAAAACCCACACCCTTACATGTGAAAGAAGGCGCATTTTTTTTAAGTAACTCATTGTTACTTCTGATAACATTTATTACAGAAATTTTTTTTCATTTAAGAAAGATTAGTTTTTTTTCTATGATTTCATTTGATCAGTGTTTTGTACTACCTAATGCAATGTTGCAGCCAGACTGCTGATTGGGGGTAATCATTATTTTGACATGGGCTGTCAAGGCCATGTAACACCTGTTTCTGTTTGAAGAATGTGAAATTGCAATTTTTTTCTCAGATGCTATACTAGATATGTAGGATATTTGCCTCAGTAACTATTCTAGTTGAGCTCAAACTATTGTCACTCACGATGTACGTGTTTTGTCTCCTGGTATAGAAGCTTTGATATTGGTGGGAGGTACAGTGAGTTTTGTCAAACCAAACCAAGCCACTAGAAAAACATACATATCAGTAACTATGAGAGAAGTGCTGCCGATATGTGGCGGTTATTGTTTATAAAATGTGAGGTGGCATTATCGCCTCACGGGCTATTCTAGATACTGCACATGATATTACCATGATCACTGTCCATAGGTGTCATCAGTTCTCTGGTCTGGAAGCTTTTGTCTTGGTGGGAGGTGTAATGATTGTTTAACAGACCACAGCTTAAAAGCCCATATAGCAGTATCCGGAAGCGCAGTGTACACATTCATAAGTTGACCCACCCTTCATAATTAAACTGAGATTATGACCTGACTCAGCAGAGGTCACGGCCACAATGAAACCATAATCTTACCGCCACGTCATTAGTCAAACCGGCGTCAAGACCGTGTTAACTCAAGAAACTACACTCCAGTCCGCGCCTGATCAAACACAGCTGTCTCGACACACCCAGATTAGTGTTAATTAGTGACGACATCTGCCGGCTTGACACCGCCAATATAAGGGGCCGACAGCTCCTTCCCAGGGAGACAGGGAGAGTCAGAACTTAGAGGACGACGGAGTCACGCTCGTCACTAGTCGAAGTCGGCAGGGAGAATTCCCTCCCCAGAGCAGAGTCCCCAGCTAGCAGAGTCTCCCACAGGAGACAGAATCCGGCAACCGCTCGGACCAGTCTCTTCGGCAGCAACTACAGAAAGATTCCCCAGCCACTGGGTCACCCTCAGGTCACATGTGAGTCATTTTCAGGGCGATCCATAGGGTGAGTTACTTACAAGATTGTATAGTTTGATTTTGCTTTGATTTTTTTATGCAGGCTATGTTTAGGGCACCTTTTCTAGCCCCTCCTAATGTGGGGTCAGCAGAGTGGCTCCTGGAAAGGGCTCCTCAGTCGCACAGACAGGACCTGATTGCACTGCTGTCTAGATCCCAGTGCATAAACGACCATCTTATCAATGCCACCCATGTGCAGAGGTGTGATTAGAGACTCCCGGCAGTCATCTCTGCCCGGCTGCAACGACACATGTTGGCTCTCCCTTTTCCTGATCCAGTGTTGTAGGTAGTTGCAAAGACTGGGAAGAGGGAGAGTTGCAATGGACTCTCGATAGCCCAGTTTGTTGGCTTAGTAGCCTGTGCATCATGCAATGCCTTCATTCGCCGGTATAGTTATTCGGTTCCCATGTTGGTCACCTCTTCCGCCTACACCGCCGTTGGGGTCTTACACGAGCTGTGTGAGCATGTCTGCCTGATGAGGGTCTCCACCGCAGATTTTTCGTTTGGGGTTTACTCCCGTAGCCTTATCCATACTAAAAGTTAATCTGCAAGGCAGCAGAGCATTGGTTGGTTGGCGCCAGGACGTGTTCAAATGCCAGTGGACCTATGCGCCGTCCCTCTGGGACCCACTGCTGTTCCGAGATCCCCTGCTGGCTCAGCCTCGGCCCGTGTGGTGCCAAAAGGAAGCACAGCAGGAGTGTTGATGGTTTAGAGGCTGTTAACTAACAGAAGACTTATGCAAGGTTGCTTGTATGATCACTACGAGGGCTAGCCAGCCGCGGTAGCCGAAAGCGAGAGGAAAGTAGTGATTGCACTTTAACACTAACATTATGGTGCCATACTAGATGCATTACACCATCCTGTTCACACACACACACACACACACACACACACAAAACACCGTCAACACCACCACCAACACCACCACAAAACACCGCCACCACCAACCAACACTGTTACCATCCACCAGTAACCAAAACCATCGCCACCACCACCAACCAAAACCGTCGCCACCACCACCAACCAAAACCGTCGCCACCACCACCAACCAACACAGTCACCACCACCAAAGACACCATCACCACCACCATCAACCAAAACCGTCGCCACCACCACCAACCAACACAGTCACCACCACCAAAGACACCATCACCGCCACTATCAACCAAAACCACCTCTTATACTTTTTATACCTAAACTTGTATCGCACTTATTCTGGTGTTCATAAATTTATTCAGACTGGTGCTGGAGGGGAAACATTTTTGGTATCCTGCCAATACTGTTATACACTGACACACTTTTACACACTTTTTTCATTTTTTTTTCTTTGTTTCTTTTTAGTTGATTGAAGTGGGGAAATCATTGAAGGCATGGTGAAACTCATCCAAGTTAACACAAACCATGGCCAGGTGTCTCAAGTGGCCGGCGTTCTGTTTTGTTTTTGTTTTCTAGTCGAAATCGGAGTTTTAAAAGATTTTTTGGGGGGTAGGGGAGGGGATTCTTTTGGCTTGTCTAGAGACTTCAGTAACCCTTCTTGGTATAATATGGTGATGTAGAGTAGCAACTCGTTCTTACTTCTGCCATTCTCAAGGGTGATAAGGATCGTCTTCCCAATTCCATCTCTGCCATGTTCTTCCATTGTCTGTTTCCTCCATAATCAGCTTCACTTTCGGCATTTTTGTCTTAATCTCTTTCTCCCTTAACTTCGTTCTTCTCGAACCTCCTTCATTTCCTCCCTCTGTTTAACTTACTTCAGAACTCTATTAATCGCCTTCCATCCACTCGTCGCACCACATAATAATATTATTTTGGTCTTGCCTCTCTCTTTCATATTAGGTTTCCATGTCATTTTTTGTGTTGCTTCAACGTCTTAATTTCTCAATCTGTTCTTAAGTGACTCATCCTCCTTCCTTGTATTTCTTCCGCACTGCTTATACATCCACCATCCATTTAACGACGCCGCCGAAACTTCACCTTCCTTGATATCCTTTGGTCACACAAAACTCTTCCAATCTTCCATCGTGTTGCCCATACGGCCATCTCTCTACCCGTCACTTCCCGTCACAAGTTCCCGTTTTCTTCAACGTCGAACTCGGGAACTTAAACCAGTCCATTTCCTCCAGATCCTCATTTATCCTGTCCAAAAACCCCCGACCCTACTTTCTACTGTTTTACCACATACTGTAACCCATTATCTTACACAAGTCACTTTTGAACTATTGACTCGCCTGCCACAGCAACACACTTCTCTTCTGTACCTCCTTAGCTCTACCGTTCTTGTAAGATCAACCACAACATCTAATCTCTGAGGTTCTCACTCAGTATATTCATCATCCTCTTAGCTTTGTTGATCTTTTTTGTTTCATACTTTACACCATATAAAAATCCAAAGAGACCTACAATGTTCACTAGAGGTGCAGAGTGTTCTTAAAAATTTTCAATCATTTTTTAGAAATATTTCGTCATGGATGGATGGACCTTTCTCTAGAGTCCTCGTTGGATCGAATGATGAAGCGGGGATAATAACTTATTGATCAATATACCCATTGTACAGTACGCATTACATTAAATAGAAGCACGGTAGTTCAAGTGTTGATGATTCTTTAACCCTTGCAAGTTATATTAGGGCCCTGAAGCCTCCCGATTTTTAACATAAATGGTAATGTAAGTTTTGATTTATTTCTCCGGATCACTATTTATTTATAAAAGTAATTATAATTTAACAAACGCATCTGTTACAGCAGCAAGAGCGAGTGAATAACAGATAATGAAGAGAAATTCTACGTGTGTGCTGGCAAGAGTGAAAACAAATTACTCTTCTGTCCTTTATATTATCCTCCAGTCTATGTTAGCTTCGGAAACTCTTGTATACAAACACTTATAAAGTCACTAAGGTATTCCCTACTTCGATGGTTAAGTTACTGATAACATTCCGAAAACGACCACATCTCTAGGTAATGGTACTCTATCTATCCCAACTGTTAGAGAGACAATCTGTCTAGTTAAGGGTAAGTCAAGCATAGTTTCGATGCTATTATTCCCTCCATACTTGTGTCCATCTTAAGCTACCTGAGGGGATGATCTTACTAAATCAGGGTATTCCCCCCTCATCATATAAAGAAAGCGTCTACGTACCCAACAACCAGTGACCACCTTGTATAACACCCCCCCCCCCATCCACCATCTATTCCCTTTCCACCAATCCTCTGCCCCACCCGTTACTCTCTTCCATTAATCCACTACTTCTAACGTTGCCTCTCACAAATGACCCGCGACCACTTCTTACCCCTCAACCCCCTCGTCTGGTTCACTATACAAGTATATCTGGCATTTAATGATTCACCATAGGCGTGTGAGAATGATATGGGAGGGGGAGGGGGGGGGAGTAAAATTAGGTTTCCAATTGTGCAGTAACACTATAGATCCATGACTAAAATTTTCATATATCATTCAATAAAAATATGATAATAAGAGCAGATTATATAACCAACAGTATACTTATTCTTATGTTTTCTTAATACAAATCCTAGTATGAAATATAATTAAATATTCTTTGTTTACTGTATGTTGCAACAATGCAAGCGCGAGTCCTTCTGTTCAAGGTTAACTCGTTCAAGTTATACAGTATATAAATGGACGACGCCTCACCTGTCTATCTGTGAACACTGAACAGTACCCTCGTCAATACAACCTCTTGAAAACAGGATGAAAATCGTAAGTATTACTTCTCTTAATGTCTTCTTGATCATCTTTCACAAAAGTTTATATTGTATCATCCGTTTTCAGTAATACGTTTGTCGTTTAATTCTTTTTATCAATTCAGATAACAGTAAGGGTGGGGATATAAACACAAGTATTGAGATTTAAGCGTACAGGAGCAAAATTTGTAATATGAGAACAGTAGACATATTTTATTCATGGTCTTTGTACATAACTGTGTAACATCACGTACAAATAAAAACGACAGTACATGTACAATCATTTTGAAACCGTAACAATACACAAACGCATAACAGGCTCACAACAATGTTATGCCCCCAAATCTTATATAATAAGCAACATAATTAAAATATATATTTCATTATTCACCGCAGTTGCTATACCATAATGTGTGGTCACTGCCAACATAATTTGTTAGCTCAGGAAAATATGTAATTTATCTCTAAATTAGTTAATATTCATAATACACTATAGTCTATTGTTTTAGAGTTGTCTCAAAGCTTACTTAACGGTATATGTCAGGATGTACAGGTAAGTCAGACCTGTTGGACAGATTTGCACACTAATAAGGCAACAACCTTAGACAAATTTATGATATTCAAGAAAATCAAGGTTATGGTCACAGCTAATAACGTCTGTGTATAACATTGAAATAGGCCAGCAGCAACGTGCAAAATTGTCTTTACAAGGTTTACTGTTGTGATAAAATGATCCTGTGATGTCTTATACAACATATATCTATTTCTACGACACTTCACTTTTGGTATTTGATAGTGAAGGCCTGACATAGGCCTGACAGCGCGTTAGGGGCAGTGCGGGTACAGCACGTTGTATACTAAGCCTTCAGTACGCGAGGAAGTTGGCACTACTCTCGATTGCCCTCACTTCCCCATTTGTAAAGTTAGATTCCATTTCAAAACTAAGTCATCTTTGGGTGGCCCGGCCGCGAGCCAGTAACCCATAAGGCAGGAGGCAAACACTGCATCCACACAAATGTTGCTATTTCCAGTGCTTAGGCAGGATATTTTTAATTTAATTTTGAGTTTCAGATAATTTTTTTCTTAATCGCAATTTAGTATTGATTACCCCTATTCATGTTTTATTGTATTCCAGTTTTATTTGATGATGGCCATCCTCGTGGCCATGAGCGGCCTAATGTTGGGGTCGGCTCGAGCTATGCCTGACCCGTACGCCCTGGCTGATCCTGTTGCTCTTCCCCTGGCTGACCCTCTCGCTGACGCCCTGGCTGACCCCTGGAGAAGATACCGTGGACATGGACACCACCACCACCACCACCATCGCCCTTATCACCACTATGGTTAAGGACCAAGTCTATGATTACAGGAAGCTTCAGTAAGGACGCCCAACGCTCATCAACAAGATACAACTCTGAACATTCTTAGAATCATCTTTATGTTAATGTCTTCTTGTATTTGCCAATTATTCTCATCGTATTTCATTCTCTCTCCGTCTCTTCTCTATTAATTTCTCTATCTCTCTTACAGAAATTGTAAATTTTCAAGTTCCTGGAGCCACTTTATCCCCTGTAATAGGAAAATTTTATAAAGTAAATTTTGATAATTCGGGTCAACTGATTGTCCTCACATCTTTGGTTATATCCGTATGACTCTTCAACAATTTAGCCAAGAAACAGTGGTTCTTCAGGTAGCTCGGTAAACATCATGGATTGTGTAAATGATGGTGAAATAAACACTGCAATATAACCTGTATTATTATATTCATTTAACACTAAAATGTTATAATATTCATTTGAAAGACTTACAGTACCCGGGGTCAAGATCCTGAAAGGTTCTGGGCATCATTATTCCTTATAACTGAGAAATGGAATGTAACTCTCTCCAAAAAGTTTCTACAGTAATACTTTACGGTTTTGCATGGGAATAATATGTGAATACGCACAAAGGATTTTTACAACCCTATCGAAACAACAAGGAATCACGGGGTTCATTTTGAAATTCATAAAACTGCTACTTGAAGATAGCTTTTGAAGCATTTACCAAACTGTTTAACTTAGGCTAAGACAAACTAACATTCGAATATAACCATTACACTCTATCTTAGCAATAAACGTTCACCGAGCACCATACAGAAACAAGATTGGAGTGCAAAATCTATGATAACGGTTTTCTCTACCTTATGTACTGTATGTCTAGTCCTAAGCTGGAGTTTGTCAAGTTGGACCCTGATGTTATTTTGTTTCTATTTCTTTCATGTTAGTTATATATTTCGCCTTCAGTTAGGAGATTAAGAACATTCGTGCGTCTTCAGTTACTCGAGAGTTTATCATAAGATCATTGAGAATTCTGTGAGAGGGGACAATATAAGTCTTAGAGTTTGGAAGTTTCTGTTCCTTTGTTGCTGAACACTGCAATACATGATAATAGACATAAACAACATACAGTACAGGTATCTACATCACCACTATATCAATCGCAGCATAATATCTTCCACAACCGACATCACAGCAACCACCACCATCGCCACAACAACCATAACCACTACAACCGCCAAAACAACAACCATCATCACAATAGCCATCACAATAACTACCACCATCATAAGAACCACCACTACAACCCCCAACAACTAAGAGCATCATCTCAAAACACCACAGTAACCACAACTACCAAAGCAACAATCACCACCACAACAATCCATGATGGTAAAACACTGGCAGTTCATCCTCACTTTCTCAGGGTGTAACAACGTCTCTTCATATACACACTAAAGGGACGAAACTGTTCTAACATAATTCATGAAGGTTAAAACGCGGACATCCACAGCTATTTGAAAGTATCGGTGCATGTAACAAGGATGCAGTGGCTGGGACGGACGCGACTCTAGATATTCTTATAATCAAGGTGACAAATCACAAAAGTACAAAAAAAGTATCTATGGATTTTAGAATAACGCATGAACTAATAAGCTCAGCTGCAGCACAGTGTTCGGGCAGGATGATGGCGGCTGATGACAACGCAGCAATCAAGAGGTGACGATGGACCAAGCATTGACTCCAACCACAGCACGGACGAAGCAACGTGATGAATGCAACACAACTACACCCACCACACACCACTTCATTCACTCAAGTCCTCCTTTGTCTTGGATTAAGGAGATTCAATATTTTATTTATTTTTTTTACTTTGGGCAGTTAAGACGTATGGAACGAGGCCGTGACGATACGGACCATGCAGAAACCACACTTTAAACCCTGGCCAGCAGAACCACACAGGAGATTTTCGCTGCGGATGCGTGGGACAGGGCAGACCGGTTCTTGTACAGTTCCGGTACCGAGATCAGGTACCCCGATGCTGGTCCTGCCCCACCACGTTGTCCAGAATGATGGCACCACCCAGTGTGACCGGCTATCCCCGACCGGATTGGCAGAAAATCATCCTCTTCACGTAAAAGGAAACTCAGATGGAACAGAAAAACCATCTAGAATATGACGGAAAGTGATGTTGTACAAAGAAACTCGGTTGGAACTAAAAAACATCTGGAATATGATAGTAACTGATGCAAGAGGTCACACTGAACGTGACTTACAGGAGAGCCTGAACACCTACAGAGATGCGTATGCACACAAAGGCCCTGAGGTGAATTTACGTAAGACTCAGATTCTCTTTCAGCCTGCCCCTGATTCAGCCACACCTCCATCATCCATCCAGCTTAACGGTACTACCTTCCCTAATGTTACCCACTTTCAGTATCTCAGCTCCCACCTGTTCAACACTGCGGACATCGATGAAGAGATTCAACATCCGATCAGATGTGCATCTCAAACATTTGACAGACTCCGTACCCGTGTCTTCAGCTGTAGAGAGCTGAAATTTTCTACAAAGTTGCACGTATATCGAGCAGTCGTCCTTCCCACCATGCTATATGGCAGCGATACATGGGTCACATACAAGAGGCACCTCAAGACACCTGAAAACTTTCACCATCGTAGTCTACGTTACATCCTCTGAGTTCCCTGGGAAGACAAGAGACTGAAGGCCAATTTTTTCGCTGACACCGCCTGTAGGAGCATCGGAGCTACCATTATCCATGAAAAACTACTACTTTTTAGTGACCTAACGAATAGTAAAAGTATCGCTGGCGAGCAACTGAAAAGGTATAAGAATAGCCTTAAGAGAAACCTGAAAAAGTGCCAAATCGATCCCATCACGTGGGATACGATTACTACACACCGCAACTGTTGGAGGAACACCACACGAGAAGGTCTCAATACTTTCGAGTTAGCCCGACTGCAAACCGAGGCAGACAAGTTCCATCACCGGAAAGACGCTGCCGCCGGCCCTCCCTCACTACATGGAGCCATCCACGTGTGCAACAGCTGTGAACGACCCTGCCAGTCCCGTGTCAGCCTCTTTAGTCACCTAAGAGCTCACCAACGAAGGTGACATCCATTATAACTCATATCATTGTCTCATGGCTGGATGATCGTCATACTCGAGTCCGAGTGACATATTTAGTAGTTGTGTGTGCGTGTGTGTGTGTGTGTGTGTGCATTACATAAATATAGTCTGGTGATGATTGACATTGCTTTACTAAATATACTCTCAGAACTTTTACTACTGATAGATTCTCTTTGGGAGATAAAATATATTTTACAATCATGGCAGTATTTTACTTGTTCTTCTCATACACTTTACACAGAGCTCGTAAATATCATACAGCAAGGAGGAACCAGGACCCAAGGGAGTCTGGATGTTGAAGGTTTTAAACGCTGGATATGTTGGATGTTGCAGGTGCTGCAAGTTGGTTGTGAATTGTCTCCTCTGGATATATTCGCTGCAGTCCACCAGGTCTTGTAATCTTGCTTAATGTTCAGTGATTTAGTTATCTGTTCTCATAGTTGTAGCTTCCATGATATATACTTGTACACGTAGTTAGTTCGGATCACCTGAAGAATCGTCTCCCCAGAATGTCCACCTGAAGAATCGTCACCCCAGGATATCCCAGCTGAAGAATTGTCACCCCAGCCTGCTCTACCTGAAATATCGTCACCCCAGCCCACAGTGAATATAAAAATAATATACACCGTGTTCCAAAATACAAAACAAAATACAAAATACTTTACTCAATTTTCCAAAATACAGTACATGATGCATATTACAAAGGGTAATGAACAGCAATTTGTTGAAATATAATTTCCACAGGATTATCAGAAAAACGATCATGCCACATGAATTCCTGAAGGTAAGAATTTAAAAAGCTTCGTTTGCAGCCACGTATGGTCTTGATGTAACTCTTGTTCTTGTTCCAATATGATTCAATCGTTTGCGTGTGCACACCAGTATTCACATCCACAAAACTGACTGAGTGGTTCACAGTTCTGTGCGTGTATCCAAGACCTTGAATATTGCGGTATGCTCTCCACTCATCACTGTGAATGACTGATCCTTGTTGAATGACTTTGAGTATTATAGGAAGAAGGGTGGCAGCATCCCTTGTCTAGACAATTTCCATGTAGCCAATTGAAGGGCTCCTGCTCGTATCGACGATACCGAAAACCCAAATAGGAGAGTGTGGTGGGGTCCTGACCCCACCTGAAGAATTGTCACCCCAGGTGTTGCCACCTGTAGAATCATCACCCCAGGATATCCCAACTGAAGAATTGTCACCCTGCCAAACTCTGGGGTGACAATTCTTCAGGTGATCCGTTAGTTCATACGACTGGGTTTTCCATTGCCTCGTGGGGGAGTCTTCGGTCAGGGGGCAGCTACAGACAGATTCTTTGACTTACCAATGTTATTTACCGCCATGACCGGGTAGGAAGCCGCCACGACGCTAATTGTCATTGTGCCAAGGGCCCCAACTGTCGTGTGGGTCAGCCAGGGGAGAAGGATCAGGGTGAGCGAAGGGGTAGGGGTCAGGTATAGCTCGGGCAGACCCCATCAGGGCAGCGAGGGCCACCACCACGGCAGACACCAAACACAGCTGCAACGTGAAGGAAAAAGTGTCAGGCATGTGTGGTAAAACAGACGGTGATGTTTGTACATTATTGAGAATATTCGGCATTTGTCATGCTGGGTGAATTATACTGTAGTGTTTACTGTGTTACCGAGCAGCTGACACCTGGAAGGAGAAAATATCAATATACTGTAGTATCGTATTTATGACCAATGACAAGTTCTTGTGTAACTTAGATCTCTCTCTCAGGAAACTTTTGCTTTCAGCTTAAAGCATACTGCATATACACATTAAGTGTCTCGGTAATTACACACACACACCAAAACAAATATCTGTATGTCCTTTATTGAACAAAAACTTATTAATATGGTCTCACTATATTAATGTGTTGACTTGTTCAGTAACGTCAAACCTCGTGTGGAGGATCAGAGAAGGTGGAGTTTCATTAGAACCACCAAGGTAAGAAAAGACCGGTGGTGATACTTACAACTTTCATATTGCTGACGGGTTTATGGTCGAGATGACTGCTCCAAGAATACTGGTATCCTGTACGGTACGGTACGGAGTCATTAGTTATGAGGTGAAAGAAGATTATTAGGGGTTGAAGAAAGAGTGGTGAAACTGAAATACAGTAGGAGTAGAAAGAATCTGGGCTCAACCAGATCGCTTCATCTTTCCTATTGGTGTTTTATCTTTGTTCTGCTCCCTTGGGTCGTAAAACCTTTGTATTAATATTGGTTTATTTATATAATGCTGCCTATTATTATTATTTAAATTTATTGTTGGA